TATTCAGTATACAGAAACAGAAAAGTGTTATGCCACTCCATAGATTATCATTGTTTTTTTCTTTGGCTTGTGAGCCGAGCAAATCTAACAGCCACTAGTTAGGCTATATTTCACTATAAATTAAACTATAAAATATACAAGTTATAGGTAAAGTGGATGTGAAATGCCGATTTTCAAGTTATTTACTATTATTATGTCAGAATAAGTGTGCCTGTGTGTGCGGGGGGGGGGTTGTGTCTGAAAGGTCTGTGTTTCATGGCTTCATCCGTCGACGCTTCACCCGAGCAACATGCTGATGTATGGTATACGTCATTGATGTGGGCGTGACTTCGAGTACTGTAACCAATCACATGCCTCCATTTTCTGGTGGGCGTGTCATACGCTCAGCGCTCACAAACCCAAGCTAACGAATAAACAACTAAGTTAGCTTTGTCGGCTAGTTAGCAGCTTCTGGTATGCCTTCATTTCATAAGAGATTTGATTATCTTTATCAAACAATTAAATTAAAAAAAAGTTTGAAGGTGTGGTTGACATTTTACGGCTATAGCAATGTATTTAAATTTCCATTGTAAGAGTGTTAACCTGCATATTTTAACAGCAAGTTCGATGCTTGGTTAGCATTTTGCTAACTGGCTGTGATAATCAACCAAACTTTCTGTGTGTGCTGATCGCTAAAGGTTAGCCAGTGGAGCCAAGCGAAAGAGACCAGTTACTGTATTTATTGTGCCGTGTTTGCATTGTTTCTCTTGTTTAGAAATGGCGTCGTTAACGGCGACAGAGCCAGCGATATGTGCACTACCGGCAGCAGAGTCCATAGTGCCCGCTTGTATGTTTGCACCGGACCAGGGATGTGCTGACGACCCGTGCAGCGGAGAGTGCTTCGAAGACGGCGAGGGTACAAACGGCGAGCCCGCGGATCATTTAGACCTCAGCAGCAAGGTGGGCCTCACTGCAAATTGCACCTTGTAGCGTTAAGTTTTAAGATGCTCCCAGCAGGCAGCTTTATGTTATGATTCGGTGAACGAATGGTGTGTAGTAACACGTTTAAAATTGCCGTTGCACGTAAGCTCCACGCCAGCGCATTCTGTGCCAAACGCCAGAAAGTGACACGTATGTTGCGCTGCGTTAGTAAGTGCATCCAGCTGGAAGGTTGCCCATCCACGGGGTATGTCTACTGTATGTGCTGACTCTGCAGGAGCAACCTACAGCCCTGAACTGAACTAAAGAAAAACACAATCACTGACTGATTTGCAAAATAAAAGCTGTGTTTTGTTTTTTTTGGAGTTGTCAGGACTTCAAAACCCCTCACAGAATGTCTGTGTTTGCTCTTGTTTGACCTTTCCCACATATTTCTTTGTTGTGTCTTCCCTCGCGTCTCATTTTTCAGCTGGTCCTAGTGAGTCCAACAGGGGAACAGTATGATTCATTACTACGGCATCTGAGGGAGCGGATAGATGAAGGCTGTGGAGAGACGATCTATGTGGTTGGGATGGGTTCAGGTAAGAGTCTTGAGAATACACTTGCTCCACACATGAACAGCACATAAATCATTAGAATGCCAGCTAAGGTGTTGCCGCACACCTTGACCTAACAAAGAATATGCTTTGTTACGTGACATTAACATGTAGTGCATATTAACATTACAAGGTTGGATTCATGGACGACAAGGAGGGAAATACACGTGTTTCTAGTAGGTCAAAGATAAACGTTTCCGTTGGTCTCAGCAGTAAAGTATGCTGTCCAAGAACAACTTCTTCCTCTGCTCCCACTACATGTACATTAGCTCTACAGTCACAATTCAAATTGACATATCGGTGTCGAAAATATAATGAAAAGTGCTGTTAAGAATGAGATGTTGTTGAAATGCATACATTTCATAACATATTTATAAAAAAGGGAAATATAATAATAAACTAAAGATGTGAAGAACAATAGTGTGGATGCTGAGTCGGCATAATAAAAAACCTACTGAAATCTCTTTATGTTATCATTGGCAAGAAAAGGCAAGGCAGAGATGTGTGGAGGAAAGATGAGATGAAATGATGACAATCCATTTTTTTTTGTATTTTACAGACTAAAATGTTATCTACAAATTGACAAAAACGTCTGGTAAATATGACTAAATATGATTCAAACTCACACAGACCTTGATATCAGCACTAGACAAGCCGAAGAATTTGAGATTGGTTTGATTTGGAAATGTCACGTTAAGTGATACCATGTCAAATTGAGAACCTAAATAACTTTTGAGTAGGATTTGAGTTTAGTTTGGCCAAGAAACTAATATTTTCAGTCATCTGGTGTGTCTGGTATATATCCCATAGATGGCACCAAAGACTTTTTACATTTTACCACCTACATTTTTGTACAATCCTCAAAACCAGCAGGGGAGAACAAAGGCAAAATTGACTAGCATGTTGTGTAAGACTGGTGTTACTTACACTGAGATATGGACAGTGAAGCATTTTACACATTGACCAATTTCAGGCAATGTGAGGTACTGCTATACATAAGCAGCTGCTTTTTTTATACCATATTTAGGGAGAGGCCTAGCCACCAGTGTGTAGTAGCAGTGCCATCACTTCTGACAGCTGCAGCCCAGCGTGTCCCCCCCCCCCCGCAGACAGCTAACCCTATTTGTTTGCCATTTAGTTTTCATTCTCTTCCTCCACCCCATGCACAACCACAAGGGCTTTTGTTGGCAACCAGTTATTTTTTGCCTGTTACAGCAACATGTGTGACCCATGTGGCCTGTTTGGGGGGGGGCACAAAGTGCATGTGTGAAAGGGTGTCATTTTTTCCTTGCTCAGCACTGAGACTGTCACTAGTTCACCAGTTCATGTCTGTCTGGCTGGCTGACTGGAAGAGCAACAAGTTGACTGGCCTACTGACCTGACTGGTTGTTTCTGTTTGTCAGTGTAGTATTAGTAGCCTCTGTGGCCAGTTAGTGGTGTTTGTATTGAGAGAAGAAGTGGTGAGTTGACTATAAAGTAACTGGTAGCCTGAAAAACACCTACTGTAGTGTATTTCAGGGTTTCTTGAGATATATATCTCTATGTAGTAACTTATGTCTCCAAGCCTGCTGTTCTTGGTTGGGCCTGAAGCAAACTGGTTATGATCCAGTCCTGTTGTCAGTCATTGTGGTCCCAGTACATTAGGTTTTCTCATCTGCACTCTACACCCACTCCCAGCTCTCCTATAAACCACCTTTTTATTTACTCTTCTTGGAAGTCTGCTGCCAGTGTGGTGTTTGTCCTTCTGGTCACCACCCTGCCATATAGAAAGAAAGTGACATTCTCAGGGCGAGGCTTTACAATAGCCCTGACATTTGCCAGACATGCTTGGAAAGTATACGCTCAGTGTTCTGTAAGGCACTCTTGATAAGAGCATACATTATATGGCAGATGTGTAATGTTACCAAACTCATTCTCCGCTCTGCATCAGAGTAACTTTCTTTTCTCGCTCTCTCTTTCACCCTCCCCCTTCCTCCTCTCTGTTTAGATGGCGGTGACTACGGTCTGGATGAGAAGGACATGGAGGCGTCGGTAGCCACGGTACGGTCGCTGTGTGAACAGATTGAGGCTGACCTGATCTGGCTGAGGGAGAGGACAGACACCGGCGGAAAGATTCAGGACTACCTCATCCGCCGACGTGTGGGCGAGCAGGACTTTCTGGAAGTCAGGTAAGAGAAAATAATATCTGTGGTCCGTCCCCTCCGCTGACTAAAGCTGTGGAAAGCTAACGTTAGTATATTGTCCGCTGAGGACGGCCGTGCTCCTAGCTAGTGTCCTCCATTTTTGTGGTAAACAACATAACATTATTAACTTTGTTTACTTATCAATAGGGAATGCCTTAGGTCAAGCTGATAGTGAAGTGCACTCTGCTCGATCACAAAACAAACGACTTCACGTGGTCGAACAGGTCGTTACACTTCGAAAGCTAACCACTTTCCAGCTAATTAAAAAAAATTCTAATAAAAAGGTTACAGCCTTAGAGTTTTATTATTAGTATTAGTATTATTATTATGTTGATATGGAATTGGATTTTGAGGGACGATTATTATGTTACTCTATTATTGTTATTTAATTGAACCCTTGTTTATACTAAGTATGTTGAGCTGCGGATACACGCTCATTCATTGCAACTGTTAACTGAAATAAAATAAATACAAGAACATGGAGTCATTAATAACAACAAACAGTAAACAAGATACAAGCTCAGTTAAAGCATTTACAGGCAGGGAGAGGATGTGTACCTACCTCATTGTACCACTAATATAACATACAATTCTCTGTACTGAACTGAAGTCCTCACGCTCCATTTTCTCCTCCCTCCTGTCTCCAGAGTGGCGGTGGTAGGGAACGTGGACGCGGGCAAAAGCACTCTGCTGGGGGTTCTGACCCACGGTGAGCTGGACAATGGCAGAGGCTTCGCTCGGCAAAAGCTCTTTAGACACAAGCATGAAATGGAAAGCGGCAGGACCAGCAGTGTGGGCAATGATATCCTGGGGTTTGACCAGGAGGGACAGGTGAGCTTCAGCCAGTGCTCAGGAATTTTCTATGAGCAGCGCAGCAGTGAAGAGTGATAGCACCTATCCTACGTTTGCCAGTTCTCTAGTGCTTTTATTCAAAAGACCTTTGGACTAAATGCCATACATAAATAACACTTTTATTCTAGTCAGGCTTTCATTTCTCTCACATACTGCGTCAAGTCATGTTCTATTCTCTCTGTGTCCTCCCGCTCCTATAGGTGGTGAACAAGCCAGACAGCCACGGTGGCGGCTTAGACTGGACCAAGATCTGTGAGAAATCCTCGAAGGTCATCACCTTCATCGACCTGGCTGGTCACGAGAAGTACCTCAAGACCACTGTCTTCGGCATGACGGGGCACCTGCCTGATTTCTGCATGCTCATGGTGAGAGAGGGATGACGTTTGGGAAAGTGCGTGTCTGTGCTTGCCTTGTTGCTTAGTCGTTGTTTTTTTGTTGTTGTTAAATTTCATGAAGATAACCCTTTTCTGTTTCCCTGTTCCTCCTCTCTCCTGTCTTAGGTCGGCAGTAACGCTGGCATCGTTGGCATGACCAAAGAGCATCTGGGTCTGGCACTGGCCTTGAATGTGCCGGTGTTTGTTGTGGTTACTAAGATAGACATGTGTCCAGCCAACATCCTGCAAGGAAAAGAGACTACAGTCAAAGCTCATTAGTGTGTAGGTGTTAGACCCCCCCCCCCCCCAAAAAAAAAAAAGAAAAGCTGTATAATTGCAGAGCTGTACATCTTTAACTAGCATCACATCTGCGCCCAACATCTGGCAACGTAAGATAAGCTAATGTTGAAGTTCCCATGTGAGGTATTAGTAGTATAATAGTATGCATGATGGATTTGTGTCTGTGTGTGTGTGTGTGTGTCTGCAGAGACGCTAAAATTATTACAGAGGTTATTAAAGTCACCAGGCTGCAGGAAAATCCCAGTGTTGGTCCAGAACAAGGATGATGTCATCGTCACAGCCTCCAACTTTAGCTCTGAGAGGTAAGAGTGACAAAGAGGGATGTAAAGACAGAAATACATTGTCCAAAGATGGAGAGACATAAAAATCTGACTGAAAGAAAACAATAAAGACTTTTTTTAAATGTATTTAATCCTTTATTTAAACAGGTTGTCTCACTGAGATCATGATCTATATTTCAAAAGAGACCTGTGTAAAAGAATACATACAGTATAAGTAAGGGCAGATACAGACACAAATTCCATACGTTTATTAACAATCGCAAGTTTTTTAAAATTATCAAGGAGCGATTTTAGTTTTTGCACCTCATTCCATTTGAGATTAATAGTAGCTCTTCTGAACTCAGTTTGAACATGTGGTGCAGCTAAAAATATCCTGTGACAGATTACACCCAGATGACACATTATCTACAAGTTAAAAAAATAAATCCGCTACAATTACACTACAATTTCACTGAGTTAGTATTTTGAAAAGGCCTCAAGCTTCTCTGTGGATAATAGGTTCTGAAGCAAGACTTCTGTCATGCTAGACCTGGTTCACTGTTTGCACACTACAGTTTTAAAGAAGGATTGTGTATTGTTTTATAAATTCAATTCATTTTACATAAAACATTATATTATCTTCCCTCTCGCAACTCAATTAAGTGAAAACATCTAACACAAGTCTACATTTTTTGGGCTGAACAACAGCATCCCTGATGCTTGTAGAGCTTATAGGACACTTGAGCAAGCATTACGAGCAGATGCTTGCTGACACTTGGGTTTAAGTCCCAAGATGTGAGATCATTTTCAGTCATACCTTTCTCTCCTTCCCTGACTCCCCCTTCTCTGCAGGATGTGTCCGATTTTTCAAATCTCAAATGTGACAGGGGAGAACATGGACCTGCTGAAGATGTTCCTCAACCTCCTTTCATCGAGGACCAACTTCAACAACGATGAGCCTGCTGAGTTCCAGATAGATGACACATACTCCGTACCGGTACGAAATAAAACTCACACTTAGCTTCACTATACGCACAGATGTTGGATTGGTTTTTCCTTTCAGCCCAGTCACTCTTTCCTCTTCTGGTGCCTCACTTTTCTTTTCAACACATGAAAGGGGTTACCAGCCGGGCCAACCTGACCAAACAGAAGAAGTCGACAGTGCTCTAATGTTAAAGTGAAGCCCTGAAGAGAGACAACAGCGGTTTGAGAGCCTGTGCAGTCGCAGGTTGCTACTGATATAAAAGCCAGTTTTTCTGTCAGCAGCAGCGTGTCATGTGGAAATGTCTCTGAGCGAAACACTGAACTGAATCTGTACTTTCGCTGTCAAATACCTGCATGTAAATGTGAGTGCAGAAACTGTCAGTGCTTTTCACAGCAAAGCAGAATATAAAAACAAGCACATTCTGTACACCCCCGCAACACCTTCCACAGTATTAAAAGCTTAAAGACTGTTGACAGAGTGGTGAAAATACTTATTACAGCTTTCAGAATAAGAAAGAAAATCGTCAGTGTGCAGGCATTACCTGCAGAGATTTATACACTGAATGCTTCACACTAATGGAGACTGATGAAGACTGCGTGAACTAATGTGGCCCATTGTTAATCTTCTCTTGGCAGGGCGTGGGCACAGTAGTTTCAGGGACTACGTTACGTGGAATGATTCGACTCAACGACACGCTGCTCCTAGGCCCAGACCCGCTGGGCACCTTCATCCCCATCGCCGTTAAATCCATCCACCGCAAGAGGATGCCTGTTAGGGAGGTTCGCGGTGGCCAGACTGCATCGTTTGCCCTCAAAAAGGTTTGTAGGAGAAAAGTTTGTCTGAATTAGTGCCACCAGAGAGCTTTTTAACGCTTTTATATAAAGACAACCTGACACAAAGTTAAGTTTTTAAAATCTTCTGAAACTTTCCTGATGTAACACACACTATCAGAATTAGTTTCCAAACTTTATAATCAGTTTTATAATGCATGCAAATCCCAGCATGTGGGTTTAGGTAATATTGTGTCGCTAATTCTGGTTTGGCTTCATCATTTTCCCCCCAACTTCATCTTTCATTTTTCTTCCTGCTCTTTTTGTTTATGTCTCAGATCAAGCGTTCGTCTATAAGGAAAGGCATGGTCATGGTTTCCCCAAAGTTGATGCCACAGGCCACCTGGGAGTTTGAGGCTGAGATTTTGGTGCTCCATCACCCCACCACGATATCCCCGAGATACCAGGCCATGGGTCAGTGGCAACACAGTCGAATCCCTTTAACTTTATGTAGCTTCTGTCTGATCCTTATTACATTATGGGTGCAGTTACACTTGGATTTTATGAGGTCTTGCTTTATCCAAACACAATACCTTCACCCTGAAACGTTCCTACCAAGAGTAACTGGGTCACACTCCTCTCTCCACCACACCAGTCCACTGTGGCAGCATCAGGCAGACAGCCACCATCCTGACCATGAACAAAGACTGCCTACGGACAGGGGACAAGGCCACAGTCCACTTCCGCTTCATTAAGACTCCCGAGTACCTGCACTGTGACCAGAAGCTGGTGTTCAGGGAGGGACGCACCAAAGCTGGGGCACCATCAAAAGTACTGGAGCTACACTAACGTCTGGTCTATTTCATTGTGTATGTTGTGTGGCTCTCTACACTCCTGAGTGAAGTCTCTGATTAATCGAGCGTTACTGACACTGGCTGTGCTTTTTTGTTTCAGTTCTCCAGTCAGTCGAACACCCAGGCGGCTTAAGCCCAACAGGCCAAGATGGCGAGCCATTTAAGAAGACTTCTAAAGATGCACAGCAGCCAATGAAGGAGGGCCGTGGATCAGCATTGCACGGCCGCCAAGTCCGAAACAGCAGCAAGCCACCAGTGAGTAAATCCATGCTCAACGTGTTACTTTATAAGCAGAGCCTGGCCTTAGCATATCACTATTTTTTAAGGAAAAAAAGGGCATTATTTCCAATCCCAAGAAGATTTTCTATTAGACAATATCACACATAATCAATAATTCTAACATGACTTATATTAAATCTTAAAAATAAAGAGAAAAATTAGATTGTAGCACTGCCTCCGTTATGCTGCAATAAACTGAAAACTGGTTTAAATGTTCCTGTCGCCATTTAAAAAGCTACCTCTTTTCCTGCTTGTGACTTTTTAAATTTGCCATCATTCATTCAATTGCTCTGTGCCTTCTCTCTCTCTCCTATCTCTCTCTCTCTTCTCTCTTCTCTCTCTCGGTCTCTCTTCTCTCTCTCTCTCTGTTGTGCTTTCAGCTCCGAATTATGTGATTTTCCTCCTCCCATTGTATCTTTCTTTCCCCTTCAAATCTGCTTTTTCAATTACCTTCTTTACCCTGCCCATAATTATCCTGCTTTCATTCCCCCGTACGCTTATTGTTTCCTTCATCATCCTTCTCATTACTCCTCATTTCCATCCGATACTCATCCTCCTCTTCTGCTTTCTTCCCTTCATGCTCTCAACTTAACACTTGCTTTCTGCTCCCATCTCTCTTGCTTCCCTCCCTCCTCCCTCCCTCCCTCCCTGTCTTGGCATGCTGCGTCAGACAGTGGCAGAGGAGGAGGCTCTATGTAAAGATGTCAACAAAGAAAACAAGGTAAAGAAGTTTCTGCAGACTGTGGGAGTCATGATGAGGTCCTGGTCTTCTTAAGCTTGGCTGTTGTTTTGTTGTTTGCTTCACTTTCTAAACTTCCTGAACTGATGTTTCCTGAGCTTGCATGCTCCTTTTCGGTGCAGTCTTATTTATATTCCTCATTCACAGTCACACCTGGAAGCTCCTCCCGTACAACTGCAGAGTGTAACTGCTGGCTGCTGAGCAGCTTCACTTTTTAGCAATTAAATGCTTAATTGCTAAAGCAGTGACTGAACTGGACCCCTGTGGGTTTTGATGTAGAAACAGTTGCGGTATTTACCTTTTAAAGTGTTATTTTTCTCCCTTTCCCCCTGATTTTATTACTTAAAGTATTTTAATGTTAGGTCTTGTAATTGTAACTAATTTATGGTTCTCCATGGTCATGGAAAATAATAATTAAAATTGTAACATGTTTTAGAAGGTTTGACTGAAAGTAACACAGTTAAAGAGCATTGTGTTAGGCTGCCATATGAATACAACTTGTAACATTGCAGGGTTTTCTTCAGTGTTTATAGTGGAGGTGGGCCACCTCATCTACTAATGTCAGATGAAATCATTGTATTAAATATTACCATAACTTTATTTAACATATTTATATAATGAGTACGAAATTGTAGGGCCTTGGCACCTCCACTATCTCCTGGGGGAAACCCTGAACTTTTGTGCTTGACCTTTTTCATTTTATTCCTTCCCCTGGGGAAAAAAGTCTTTACCCTCTTAACCTTTTAAAGCGTAAAGCACAAGTGAGAAATGCATTCCTGTTCCTCAGAAACCCTTCTTAACACATGTCCTGTTGTAGACCCTCTGGTTTTACCTGGTGGCTGGTCTTCTAACCTGACTCCATGTAACAGCTGGCTCACTGTGGTGTTCCCGTCTGTCTGCAGCTCAAGTCAGGAGGTGGAGGACGCAGGAGAGGTGGTCAGAGACATCGAGGGAAAGGCCTGAACGCTGCAACAATCTCTACAGCAGTGCCTGCAGGAGCAGCGGGCACGGCCTAAAAACACAACATCTCCTTTCTCCTCAGCTCTCCTCATCTCCTTAAGGGAAGGAAAGTGACTGCATGGCCCTCTGGTGGTAGCATACAAAGACTGACCTCCTAATATAAAATGATAATTGAACAGTTTTGAATCATAAGAGTGAGTTATTTTCCACATCAAGTCAATTTGAAGCTTTATTGGTGTAATAACTCATGGACTGCTGAAGATGGTGTTGAGTTTTTATTTAGTTTGGGGTTTTTTTCAGCAAATTTTTTCTGCAATTTCTAGATTTAATTACATTATATAACCCTTTCTATTTTAATACAAGTTTTGGGGGTGTTCATCATGTTTGTAGTTCATTAGAATGTATTGTATTGCATTAACTGTGTTTCCCAACCAGCAGAGGCATCTGTCACTTTCCCTTCTCTCCACAGTATACTTTTTTTCTGTTGCTCATCTTCTTGTCCTCATTCTACATCCTCTGTTCACTTCCACCTAACTTTGATTAATGCAACTTTTTTATGATGGCATCAGGGTTGGAGCCTCAGTCATTTGAGAAAGCAGACTGTGTTCAGTAGTTGAAAAATAGTATTTTTATCCTTTACTAAGCTCGTCGTCATTGATTCTGGCAGTTGGAAATCACAGCAGGAATCGATTGAACTGAAAGGGAAATGATGCCAACCCTATGTGTACTTATGTTTCTGTGACGAGCAGAGCTAAAAATGAAAGGAAAATGCAATGTCGGTTTACCCTGTCATTCAGTTGAATGGTGGCTGAAATTTTCCTGTTGGAATCACTTTCTAAATATTTGCTTTACCGGTGTAACAGTGCCGGGATTTGGTGAATTTTGTTGCTCATTGACAGGAAAGCTATTTTGGCCACTATATTGCACTATTTACCAGCCATCACCTGTCATGCACATCTCCTTGTGGATGAAGAGAAAAACAGTCTCATCCATTTAATCTCACATCGTGTAAATTTATTAATTGCTATAGAAAGGTCATTTTATCTTGGTTTTCCCCTTCTTTTTGAGTCAGGGTTGCGGTTTTAACAGATCCTGTTTGTGCAACCAGGAAAGACAGAAAAGATCTGAAATTCTTCTTTGTTCCCCAAAGTAATGTCACGTGTAAAAGTAGCTTCATGTCATGCGTTTACCTGGCATAAAAGTCTTTGTGAAGTAACCTAATTAAACTTAATTTGCTGGAAAATATTTCGAGCGAAGCAGGAGTAAGCACAACTTTCCTCCATTTTGATGCAGTCTGACCACCAAAAATCCAGAGGCTGATACTCTCATGCACAAAAACAGATATTTCTAAGCTCCAAGCGTTAAATACAAACCTTTTTTATATGACCAGAGAGAAAACGTTTTTCGGTATGTACTGCATGAATAATTTACAGATACTTTTCTATGATTCAGTTTTGACTCTAGAGATGTCAGCCAGCCAGATAAAACACGACAGAAACTGTCTCGTGTCTGAACACACTAGCCGATCGTGTAAGTTAAAGGACCAGTGTGTAAGATTTAGTGGCATCTAACAGTGAGGCTGCAGAGTGAAACCAACTGAATACCCCTCGCCTCACTCTTCCCTTCCAGCCGTGTAGGAGAAACTATGGTAGCAGTTCTGTACAAGAGGACCTGTCGATTAAAAACGGCTCATTCTAACGAAAACACAGCACTTTATTTTCAGGTGGTTATACACTAATGAAAACAGACCTGTGATTGTTATATTTCATTTCAGCCAAGAGATCCCCGTAAATCTTACACACCGGACCTTTAACGCATCTCATCTCAGATTGTCTTTAATAAGCTAACATAAACCACTGATCACATGAAACGACTGTTACTGTAGTTTCCCAGTTTGGAGTTTATATTGGGAAGGGAACTGAATAGCATTATTGGTTGTCGCAGTTTGAGTGGTGTTTCCCTTTCATGCATACATACCCCGATTCAATGCTGGTCAGTTTGGTCTGAGAGTCTTTTGGGCCACTGAATTACCCATTTTATGAAGATCACAGATATACTGAACTGCCAGAATATTTCTCCCTTGTTTACCTTTGACCTTTTCTCCTTTTAAGGACCTTACAAATTGTTTTTTTGAAGGGACACATTTTGTGTGTTTGTATGTACAAAAATTCAAAGTTGTGCAGAACTGAGGATAAAAAAAAGATGCCATTTAAATTAAGTGCTGCCAGTTTGTGTTGTAAATCCTTTTAAATAAAGATGTTATAGAAAACGGACATGTGGATAGTACTTTTTACATTTAAGGGATTCAGTTGATGCTGTTAGCCAGATGATTGCAAATCAACAGGATTGAGCTGTTGAAAGGAGGCTGTTAGGGAAATTTAGCTTTATTTTTTCACATTACATAATTGCTTTGGATGCTTATGTGCCATCATTAACTTGTTTATGCCGTTTGACCCCAGTCATTACATTCAAAATGTCCGAGGTCATTATACACTACTGAAAACATAGTCCTTTCCCAGTAGATGCTCCTAAATGTTACACAGATTGGACTTTTAATATTGTAAAAGCAGGCTGCAAAAGGCAAAATTATGGTGTCATTGTCACTACTTTTGGCGATGTGACCTCTAATGTCATCCCAGTCCTGTCTCATCCCAGAGTGTCTGTGTTCATCCAATATTCACACCAAAGTCAAACTGAGCAAGTCTAAAGTGACATAATCAACAGAGGATATTTATGGGTCAAACATTTATGTAAATGCAAAGGAAATGATAATGCTGGCATAACATCTGCTTTTCTCTACCCATGCAAAATGGGTAACTCCATCTACAGAGAGGCAGCTGTTTTCATCAGGAAAGCTCTGATAAACCGGCTGTAAACAGACGAACAAAGTTAGCAACAAGGAGGAAATACAAGTAATTTGTCCCGTGCTTGTTCATTTTCTTATTTGTAGATATTTTTAGTTTTTTCACTTAACA